TAAAATAGTAGGTTTCTCTTTTTTCCTCCTTTTTGGCATCACTGCAGGGCAGAGTTCAGATTGATGGGTGTTTTAACTGTACACTTCATAACTGAACATGTTTGGGTTTTTTAAATTTAACCTCAAACTCATCAAATTCAGAATTATTAGTGCTTTGGGGGAGCTAGGACCACAGGTGCTAAAATGCAATAATCCTTTAATTACTGTATGATGTCACTACAGCACAGTTCAGGTTGAGATACAAGACACATAACTGCATACACCTGCTCAGACTCAGATCTGTGTTCTCAGGGTCATGAGATATTGAAGTGGATTTGCACTAAGTTATAACTGCTTCACTTCAGCTGATAAATTGAGTGCAATTGATGAGCGTTGCTGGTTGCTTCAGTGTAGGAGTGACACTGTGGTTTTTCTTCCAGCACCACCTCTGCAGTGACAGTCAAATCTGCCATCAGAAGACTGAAGGAATTGAAAGACCAGTAGAAGCTTCTACCTGTTACCATGATTCATATCTTCCTTCTCCAGAGTCTGAAAATCTCTACCATTCTTTTGTCAATAAAAAGGGTGTAGTGGAACAGAACCCTTTTTTTCCTCGTCTGTACAAAATTATATCTGGTCTGCCACGCTATGGTTGTGAATCTGCTTAGCTGTCGATTCTATTATTATGGCGGCACTGATAGCAAATGCTGGATCTATTTGTTATGGTCATGGACAGGTCATTCTTAATGACACTGTAACATCAGAAGTAGCTCAATCAATCAGTACCGTTCCACTGCAGTTAATTTGCGTGCTGCAGTTCTATTAGTTGAACGAATCAGTGGGTTGTCCGTCTTTTTATAAGAGCTCTAAAGAAAAGCCTAGGCAGATTCTAATGGGGTCCTATGGCACTTGTGACATAGCAGTCATCAGTAACTTGTGTCTCTGGGGAAATCTTAAATGAGAGGGGGGCGAGAAGGGGCAGATCTCAAGTGCCGTGAACATCTGAATGTAGGTTCTGTGTCTCCACCCCAACCCAGCTGCTGCTTTTGCGGGGGGACACATTCCGTAGCATGGAGGGGGAACCAGCCCTGTTGACAGACTCCCTCTGGAGTTGGGGTAGGGATTGAAATCATGAAGAGCAGCTGTCCTCCCACACTCTCTGACTCTGGTTCTGGATCCCACTGACCACAGACAATGGGCTACTACTGCCCATGCTGTGTCTTTTTCTGTGTGAATGTCTCCAGTATTGGCCACCTGGTGCCTTTCTATTTGGGCTGCCATTTCTGTTTGGCAGTAGGCCCTGTGAGCTGCAAAATGTTAGTCAAATCTTCCCAAATCATATAAATAGCTATAATGAAAATTAAATACTAAAAGTTTCATGCTAAGTCAGTTTAAAGATCCGTCTTCCTGGCAAGGAAAACAAAGTTCCGGTTTCTAGAGCCAAGAAGAGTCGCTGCCAAATCATTTCTTTCTGGACGATCAGCCTTTAACATTTTGGTACCTGGGACCAGCTGGCACATGTGTTTGAACCATCTTTCAGTCACCACTAATAGACTGGATACCTGCACCATCTCTCTGTATTTCGGTGGACATACAAATAAGGAAATGATTATCTGATGAAACCAAGGTGCTTATAGTCACACAGGACAATCACTGTCCTGTTTTTGTGTAATTTTGAAGAGGTATTTATTTCCCAGTTTGAGGTTAACTTGTGAACCTAGTCCCAAAGACTTCATTGTGTAACCGTGACCGCTGGGGCTGCAGTTCAGGAGTCTGTGAGACCCCAGTCTCCTTAAGAGCAGTGGTCCAGATGGAGGCAGGGCCCCAAGGGTTTGGAGAATTAAATTCAGATACAGTAGAATCTCAGAGTTACAGACTGACTGGGCAAACACACACCTCATTTGGAACTGGAAGTACGCAACCAGACTGCAGCAGAGGCACCCCCCCAGCCCCCCAAAAAAGCCAGTACAGTACTGTGTTGAATAAAAAAAAAAAAAGTTTAAAGAAAAGATTTGACATGGTGAGGAAACAGTTTCTGTGCTTGTTTCATTTAAATTAAGATGGTTAAAAGAAGCATTTTCTGCATAGTAAAGTTTCAAAGCTGTAGTGAGTCAGTGTTCAGTTACAAAGTTTCGAAAGCACAACCATACTGTTGTGTTTAGAGTTGCAAACATTTCAGAGTTACAGCCTCCGTTCCCAAGTGGTTCGTAATTCTGAGGTTCTACTGTACTTTTAATAGATTTTTAAGGCCTGAAGAAATATATTATGATTAGGTATGCTGAGTTTCTGCATAAAAGGCCAGAGAATGGCACCCAGTAACTGCTACATCAAGCCTGTAACTTTTTGTGGAGCTAGAGCATATCTCATAGAAAGATAGCTTCAGAAAAAGTTGTTTTATGAAACACCCAATGCTGCCTGCTGTCATCAGAATCAGACAACCTCTTCTGCTGTTTACCTGCCTCAGAACTCTTCCCTCCCCCCGCTCATGCCCCCCTTGAGAAATGCAAACCCTGTCACCATTTAGACCCTAGCAAAGATTCTTAGATGAGTCTGTCAGCTTGGCCCTGCTGTGGGCTCTCTGACAACAAGGTAACTCTTAAACCCCATCATCTTATCTGTATTTCTGAGGTACAGCGATAAAGTCTAAAGGTCCCACAGGCTGAGCTGGGAATTGAACCCAGGTCTTCTGAGTCCTGGTCCAGTGCTTTAACTACAAGGCCATCTGTTTCAACAGAGCATAGGAATTGCCACCCTGGAACAGAACGGAGGGCCATCTTGCCCAGAATCCCATCACTGGGAGTGGCCAGTACCAACTGCTTCAGAGGAAGAAGCAAGAGACACTGCAGCAGGCAGCAATGGAATAGCCTGCCCATAGGGAAATTTCTTCCCAGACAGAGCTACAGGTGCTGATCTATTGATTTCAATGGGAGGTAGGTGCTTACATACCTTTTGAGGATCTGGGCCTTAGTGCCTGGTTTGTGCCCTGAAATAGGAGGGTTTTTATCCTTTCTTTTATTCTGTCCAGTGTAATAAGCTGTTCTCCTTCGTCATATACACATATAATCCTTTTCTAACTCCTGGGTTTTTGCCCTGAACAATATCTTGTGTCAGTGAGTTCCACAGGCTAATTATACATTGTGTAAAAAGTATTTCCTTTTATTATTGACATATTCTTTTCAATTTCATTGAACGCCCCTGGGTGCTTCTATTATGAGAAGGTGAATGGCAGTGCCTGACTTATCATCTTTATATCAGGCAATATTTTGTGTATCCCTAACGTTCCGTCAGCTAAACAATCCCAGTGTTTTCACGCTCCTCAGATGGAAGTCTCTCCAGGCTTCTAATCGTTCTCATCTCTTGTCTCTCCACCCCTCTGATTCTGCTATATCCTATAGGTGCAAGATTCCACAGCTGGTTCCGAGGGTGTTAACTGAATAAGGTTCAGGTACATAAAAGCCGTGGGCTCTGTTCTCCAAGGACAGCTGTTCAGCAAGCAGCAGGATGACAAAATTCAGCCAAAGCGGGCAACCGTCAATCTTTGCACTGCTGCTCATAAGCATAAAATTAAGTGCACAAAGACTGCTACCCCTGAAGGAAACTAGCTAACCCTTTGCCAAGAACCGAGGGTTTGATTCTGCGCCTCTTGAAGTTGATGGCAGCGCTCCCACTGACTACAAAGGTGCACAATTAGGCACTATGCTTGGTTGTGTCCTGCTTGCATCTGCTGCCCTTTCCCCTGGCCAGTGCAGTTGCTGTATTACTCCTAAGTGTGTATGATCTTAGTCATAGGGCCAAAATTGTAAAGGTATTTAGGTGCCTAATGATGTAAAGAGGTGCCTAGTGGAGTTTTCAAAAGCACCTGAATGGATACCTCCCTTTGAAATCATCCCTTTAATAAATCTGGCCCACTGAGGCTCAGTTCAATATTAGCGGGGAATTCCCTGCTCTCATGCCTCTTTCCCAGTATTGACAATACCAATTGTTCCAAAATCACATCCTGAAAAAATCATGTGATTGGCTTTGAATATCCTGAGAACTTCTATATGCATGTATAGAAGTTGCATCTGAAGAAGTGAGGTTCTTACCCACAAAAGCTTATGCTCCCAATACTTCTGTTAGTCTTAAAGGTGCCACAGGACCCTCTGTTGCTTTTTACAGATTCAGACTATCACGGCTACCCCTCTGATACTATACGCATGTATGGTTCTTTTGTAAAGGGAAATCATGCCTCACCCCTCTATTAGAATTATTTGAGGGAGACAACATACGTGGACATAGGTAATCCAGTTGATATTAGTGTACTTTCACAAAGTCTTACAAGGTCCCTCACCAAAGACTCTTAAGCAAATTAAGCAGCCATGGCATAAGAGGGAAGCTCGTCTCCTGGATCAGAACTGGTTAAAGGACAGGAAAGAGGGTAGAAATAAATGGTCACTTTTTAGAATGGAGAGAGGTAAATAGCAGTGTCCCCGAGGGATCTGTACTGGGACCAGTACTGTTCAATATATTCATAAATAATCTGGAAAAAGTGAACAGTGAGGAGGCAAAGTTTGCAGATGATACAAAATTGCTTAAAAGAGTTAAAGACCAAAGCAGACTGAGAAGAGTTACAAAGGGATCTCACAAAACTGGGTGACTGGGCAACAAATGGCAGATGAAATTCTATGTTGATAAATGCTAAGAAATGCATATCGGAAAACATAATCCCAACTATACTTAACAAAATAATGAGGTCTAAATTAGCTGTTACCACTCAAGGAAGAGATCTTGGAGCCATTGTGAATAGTTCTCTGAAAACATTCACTCAATGTGCAGCGGCAGTCAAAAAACCCAACAGGAACCATTAGGAAAGGAATAGTTCATATGACACTGAATATCATTAATGCCACTATATAAATCCATGGTACGGCCACACCTTGAATACTGCATGCAGTTGTAGTCACCCCATCTTAAAAAATATATTAGAAATGGAAAAGGTACAGAGAAGGGCAATAAAAATGATTAAAGGTATGGAACAGCTTCCATATGAGGAGAGATTAAAAAGACTGGGACTATTCAGATGGGAAAGGAGATGAATAGAGGGGATATGATAGAGCAGTGATTTTCAACCTTTTTTCATTTGTGAACCCCTAAAAAAAATTTAATGGAAGTGCAGACCCCTTTGGAAATCTTAGACATAGTCTGCAGATCCTCAGATACCACTGCTCTGTGGTAATGACAACCTTTCATGGACCTCTTAGACATAGTCCGCAGACCCGCAGGGGTCTGTGGACCACAGGTTGAAAACCCCTGTGATAGAAGTCTATAAAATCATGAATGGTGTGTATGACATACTAGGGTACAATCCAGATTATTGAGTAGCTGTGTCCCTCCTGCCCTCTAACCTGGGGTTCCCTTTACACACCTTTGCTGCTGTAGCCTCCAGCCTGGACTGCTCACAGACAACCTCCAGCATGCAAGTCACTCCCAACTATATCTGTGTACAAGCTGCAGCCAGTCAGACCTTGGCTCTTACCAGCCTTGGTTACACTGCAGAGTGACCCCAACACACTCCCAATCTTAGATTTCCCCCCAGAAATGTATGTCCTGTACTGCCCAGCCCTCTCCTGGACAACACAAGTTTATATAAAGTGCATTATTTCTTTAAAAGAAATAATATGCACACAACTTGCCACCCCAAATGGAGTTTCCCAAACACTTCAATTTAATCACACTGGATTAGATATAACAATAAAACCAGTTTATTGACCACAAGGGGATAGATTTTAAGTGAGTACAAGTAATGAGGCATAAAAATCAGAAATGGTTACAAGAAAATAAAGTTAAAATGCTACTTATTTGGTGTAAAGTCATGCCTTACTTAACAATCTCAGATACAAGCAAAATTTTTCTCCATATGCTTTCAGCAGTTTTACTGACCAAATGTCTTAGGTCAGAACCTTTTCTCCCTGAGTTAAATGAATGCTTCCTTTTTTGCTTCTGGTGCCAATCATGTGATGGGCAGGGAAAGAGAAAGAGGGGATCCCTTGGCATGTTTGTCTCTCCTTTTTATAGTGTCAGCCAGTGTTCCCTCAAATTTTTTTGTATCCGTGTGTGGAATGAATTTTGTTATGAGAACCATATCGAGGTGGATGTGCACCACCAGTAGAAACCAAAAACCTAGATATAATATATATATTTTAAAAGTTACCATAAGGATAATTACTCCAGCCAGGACAGGTTAGGCATTTTAAAACTCACTACTCAAAGAATTAAATTTAAGTGTAAGAGAGAAATAAAAATTATTAAATGCATAGACCAGCCAAAAAACTAAAATAACTCACTTTGAAAGAAGTATCAAGAAGTAACACCAACAATATAAGTGTGTGTTGGGAGGTGTGTGTGACAGAGACACACACTGTGCGTGTGAGAGACAGACACACACTGTGCGTGTGTGTTGTGACAAAGACACACACTGTGTGTGCGTGACAAAGACATGTGTTGCCACTTTAAGTACATTGACTCCACTTTAAGTACACTGCCCTTTTAAATAGATCAGCGAGTTCAGACACAGCAGCAGCTGCTAGCAAGCTCCCTCCCTCCTGAGCCCTGTCATGTACCCATCCCTGGTATGTGGAGATGGGGTACAGGGGTGGGGGGAGAGAGACACCCTGACATCAGTGCCCTCTTCTCCCCCACCCCCTTCACAGCAAGCAGGAGGCTCCCGGGAGCAGCTCCAAGGCAGAGGGCAGGAGCAGCACATGGCAGTGGGGGGAGGGATACCAGAACTGTGTGGCACTTGATAGCCTGCTGAGCAACCGCGCAACTTACAAGGAATTTAGTTCAGTCCTAATCTTGAAAAACTTTTCCAGCTGGTACTAGGAGACAAAAGATCTATGGAGAAAGATGTTCCCTGCTTTCCCTCACCTGTTTGAGCTTTCTTTATCTCCCCTTTCTGCTTGATGACTCTGTTTACTGCTTAAATGCAAATTAAGCAGAGCACACACTCCTTTATTTAGGACAGACCTGTTTTCCAACCTCAGTTTGGAACATGTGTTAATAACACCATACAGGGGAATCTTATAACTTCAAATACGATCTGGCCACACAGATTTTACCAGGACAAGGGGCAGCAAATTATGAGTTTTCAACTGATACCTCACAAGACATACTCTGTACAAGGATTATTACAATGCTGTGTGAGTACAGGGCTACCTTCAGTCACAGTGTGGAGAAAGTGAATAAGGAAGTGTTATTTACCTTTTCACATAACACAAGAACCAGGGGTCACCCAAGGAAATGTATAGGCAGCAGGTTTAAAACAAACAGAAGGAACTACTTCTTCACACAACCCGTGGCGCTCGTTGCCAGGGGATGTTGTGAAGGCCAAAACTACATCTGGGTTCAAAAAAGAACTAGATAAGTTCCTGGAAGATTAGGGTGACCAGATGTCCCAATTTTATAGGGACAGTCCCGATTTTGGGGTCTTTTTCTTATATAGGCACCTATTATCCCACACCCCCTGTCCCGATTTTTCACACTTGCTGTCTGGTCGCCCTAGATAGGTCCATCAATGGCTATTAGCCAGGATGGGCAGGGATGCAACCCCATGCGCTGGGTGTCACTAAACCTTTGACTGCCAGGTGCTGGGAGCGGACGGCAGGGGAGGGATCACGCCCCATAAATTGCCCTGCTCTGATCATTGCCCGGCCGCTGTCGGGGGCAGGCTACCAGGCTAGATGGGCCATTGCTCTGACCAGGATGGCCGTTACTCTGTGCAGTGGCCACCTGGCTGTGGGGCCGTCCAGGTTTGGGGTTTTCAGGCTGCTCCTGGCGATGGCCAGGGCTAGACACTGCCCGCGAGCCGCGCTCTCCCCGGGTCGCAGGGCTCCTGGAGCTGGGGTTTCAGCCGGCGGCCTGTGGCTGGCCCTCCGCCCAGCAGGGGGCGTGCGTGCCACCGGACCGGGGACCATAGAGCGGCAGCCGCGCCCCAGCTCGATGGTTGCGGCCGCGGCGCAGGGTGATGAGCTCACCGCAAGCGGCGGGTTTGAAAGTGGGAGAGGGGGCGGCGCGCGGCAGACCCAGCCGGCTCCTGTGGGGGAGGGGGGCGAATATGCAAATTAGCCCGTGTGATCATTTGCATGTGATGATTGACAGCAGTGCGAGGTCAGTGCAGCCCGCGCCATCAAGGGGGGCCGAAGGAGGGCGGTTGGGGCAGGGACTGAAGTGGGGGAGGGCTGGGGGCGGTTCGGGGGGACTGAAGTGGAGGAGCTGGAGAGAGCTGGGGCAGAGGGACCAAAGTGGGGAAGGAGTGGGGGGCTGGGGCAGAGGGGCTGAAGTGGGGAGGGCTGGGGCAGAGGGGCTGAAGTGGGGAGGAGTGGGGGGTTGGGCAGGGGG